TCGGCAGGTTTCTCACCTTGACCAGCAGCTTCAGGAACTTCTGGTACGTGGCTGAAATGGACCCGTCCTGAGCAGACCTCCGGATCATCCTCACAGGTCCGGTGTTGTAAAGCGTCTCGTGGACAAAGGCCAGTTTGTCCTCTTCCTTCATCTTCAGCAGCTTCAACTTTCCTTTCTCAAGCTTCCTGACAAAGATGATGAGCAGAGGAACTCATCAAAACCAGTTCGGACCACCGGGTCGGTACCACAGCCGGATGGCGCCCACCTGCCGTTGAAGGTCTTCCTCACGCCTTTCAGGTTGGCTTTCTTCTTCTTGATGCTGACCGGCTCCACCAGGCCGTCCACAGAGTCACACTTTGCAGAGATCGCCGCTTCGCCAGCCGTTTGGTGTCCTCCGCCCAGCTCTCCGCTCCCGCTGCTCTCCACCGACGTCTTGAAGTCCTTCACCAGCAGTTCTTCTTCAACCTCTGGCAGAAAGGTTAAAGGTCACAGAAAGGCTCCAGGTGCTGCTGCTGTGTCTGTCAGGAAACCCACCTGCAGAGAAGTCCTCGTCCTCCAGCAGCTCTGGTAAGGTGCAGTCCACCGGCGTGTACTTGGGGTAACTGAAGAACCTGCCCTGGCTGACCCGGACCAGGGTCAGCAGCTCCACCTTGTGGTTGAGGTTGGAGTTGGAGATCAGCTCCTCCTCTGCTCCCACGTTCTTCACCACGGCGCTGGTCTCATCCGCAAACATCTTCTGTTGGGATCAAACGGAAACCAGTAAAGACCTGGGAGGCAGTTTGGTTGACGGCTGCGTCTGTCCATCTGTCCGTCTGTCCATCTGTCTGTCTGTCCATCTGTCCGTCTGTCCATCTGTCCGTCTTCCCGTCTGACCATCTGTCCATCTTTCTGTCCGTCTGTCCATCTGTTCATCTTTCTGTCCGTCTGTCTGTCTTCCCGTCTGTCCGTCGGTCAGTCTGTCCATCTGTCCATCTGATCCTGCTAAGGAGCTGAAACCTGGATCTGCATCCAGGCTGCAGGAAAACCTGCTGACCCGCCGCTGTGCCAGAGCTCAGAACGTTGCCCTGAGGGACCCCAACACTCACAAGATCTGAAACCCAAACGGCAGGTTTGCACCGAGCCCACCAGAACCGACCTGACCCAACAGAACCGCAGACAGGTCCCACAGCTCTCTCCTCCAAAGCAGAACCTGGTTTGAGGGAACGAGGATTCGAACTGGCAACCCACTGAACGCCCTGAGACACCACCGCAAATTTCACAGCCAATCAGAGTGGCAGACCTCCAACTGGCCCCGCCCACAACCAGAGTGGGGTAACTAGTTACATTCACTCCAGTAAGTTTTTGGAAAAAGGATGAAGTGTTTCTGCAGCCGACGTTTGACCTGAGTGACATCATCATGACCTTTGGTGAAGCGATCGTCGCCCTGATGTGGAGTTTACTGACGTCCTGAGTCACCAGACTGATAAAAACCGTTCCTTGCTGCTGGTTCACCTCCAAGAATAAAAGCTCTTCAGTCAGGAATCGCTGATCAACAGACAAACTGAACTAATCTCCACCTTTTAATCCTGCACTGATATCCATGGTTACATGATGTCAGCATTTGCTGCAGAAATGTTCCAAAGAAAAACATTTATCTGCAGATGAACTATGTTAGTTACTGGAAGCTTTAAAAGCACCGGAGTTCCTTCATATTTATCTCATCTGTCATTCAAAAAACCTGGTTGGAGTTTAGCCACGCCGCCCCGTCCTGTCACTGATGAAGCCCCGGGCGTCCACCGGGACGCTGGAGGCATGAAAGCCGTCATCGCTCCATATGTGGAAGCAATGGGACATGAAACAGACCAGCTTACCAACTGGAAACCAGAGCTTCCAGTTGCCCAGCAGCTCTGAGAACCAGTAAAGACTTAGACCAAGTGGAGAACACAGATCTATGGTTCTAGAACAGATCTATGGTTCCAGTACCTGCTGATCCGCAAAGCAGAAATGTGATGTAGAAATGTTGGTTCTTCTCCAAGGCAGAGAGGAAGCAGGTCCGGTCCGGTCCAGTCCAAGTCCGTCCTCTGTGTCTCTGTCCGTCCTGCTGCTCCAATCAGTTGATGAAGTGAAACAGCAGCAGAACTCCTGCGGTTCCCTGGAAACGGTTTGGACCCGGGCCAGCGCCTGTGCACTTCTGTGGAAGGAAACCAGACAAAGCGAAAGAGTTCTGAGAGAACAACAAGAGTCCGGATCCGGGCCAACATTCCTGAACAAAGACGGGCCTGCTCAGGTGGAAGGAACCGGCACCGACTGCTGGCACCACACCGGGCTGCAGAACCAACAGAACCAGACAGAACCAATCAGAACCAACCAGAACCAATAAGAACCAACAGAACCAGACAGAACCAACCAGAACCAGGCAGAACCAATCAGAACCAACAGAACCAATCAGAACCAATCAGAACCAACAGAACCAACCAGAACCAGGCAGAACCAATCAGAACCAACCAGAACCAATAAGAACCAACCAGAACCAACAGAACCAACCAGAACCAAACAGAACCAATCAGAACCAACAGAACCAATCAGAACCAACAGAACCAATCAGAACCAACCAGAACCAGGCAGAACCAATCAGAACCAACAGAACCAATCAGAACCAACAGAACCAACAGAACCAGACAGAACCAACCAGAACCAGGCAGAACCAACCAGAACCAGACACAACCAATCAGAACCAACCAGAACCAATAAGAACCAATCTTAACCAACCAGAACCAACCAGAACCAACCAGAACCAGAGACCAACCCCTGTTAATAAAAGAATGAGCATAAATTCTGGGAATCAAAAAAACCTGAGGCTGAAGACATGAAGTTCTGCTAACGGCCAGCAGGGGGCCTGGAGCTTAAAGGGTCTTCATCCATCAGATGAAATCACCAGTAGGAACTAAAGTCTCTGATTCCTGTAAAGGTGTTTCAGAGAATTTTTTTTGATGAACAGATGAAGGACTGCGCCTCATCCCTCCGGCTGATGGTTCTTCAGAAACCGAGTCTGAGGAAAACAAACATGCGGTTCTGGTCAGACGGGATGATCCAACAGTTCTCTCTCCTCTGCACCGCGCTGCTCAGCCCGCTGACAGCTGATGGCACTAAGCCTCATCCACTCGGGTGGGTGGTGTGGATGGAGCAACCTCCACCTGTGTCAGAGGTCAGAGCAGAGGTCCAGACAGTAGCCTTAGTCCCACCCTGTTCAAATGGGCCAGTACCAACCAGAACCACTGGAAGAAAACTTGAGTAAAACTGGTTTTAAATAAAACCTCAAATTCCTCGAAAGTAAAAACCTATCAGTGAAGTTTGATGCTAATTCTCTACAAAACTCCAAACCGTGAATCATTTCTTTACTGAGCTCAATGATTCGAATCTGAGCAAAAGCTAAAAACATTTTCTAGGGAAACAAAGTGTTCTGTCTGGTTCTGTTGGTTCTGATTGGTTCTTATTGGTTCTGGTTGGTTCTGATTGGTTCTGGTTGGTTCTGATTGGTTCTGTCTGGTTCTGTTGGTTCTGATTGGTTCTGTTGGTTCTGATTGGTTCTGCCTGGTTCTGGTTGGTTCTGTTGGTTCTGGTTGGTTCTTATTGGTTCTGGTTGGTTCTGATTGGTTCTGTCTGGTTCTGTTGGTTCTGCAGCCCGGTGTGGTGCCAGCAGTCGGTGCCGGTTCCTTCCACCTGAGCAGGCCCGTCTTTGTTCAGGAATGTTGGCCCGGATCCGGACTCTTGTTGTTCTCTCAGAACTCTTTCGCTTTGTCTGGTTTCCTTCCACAGAAGTGCACAGGCGCTGGCCCGGGTCCAAACCGTTTCCAGGGAACCGCAGGAGTTCTGCTGCTGTTTCATCAACTGATTGGAGCAGCAGGACGGACAGAGACACAGAGGACGGACTTGGACCGGACCGGACCTGGACGCCTCAGCGGTCACCTTCCATCCTGCCCTCCTGACCTCAGTGGATCTAGTGATGCAGACGGAGCTTCAGCATCGTCTGGTTTCATTGGTTCCTCCGGCTTTGCACTCGGCACTGTTTCCATGGTAACATGGCCCGCTCAGCTCTTTATGATGTCATACAATATTTCTGACAATATTATACATATTTAGAAAGGGATTTATATTATTACTTTCTTACATCTTTGTATTTATTGTATCAATATTTATAAAGAACATGGATGTGAGTTCTTCACATACAACCACTGACAGTAACCCATGATGACCTGGAGCTAGCCTTGGAGCTAGCCCTAGAGCTAGCCTTGGAGCTAGCCCTGGAGCTAGCCTTGGAGCTAGCCCTGGAGCTAGCCCTGGAGCTAGCCTTGGAGCTAGCCCTAGAGCTAGGCTTGGAGCTAGCCCTGGAGCTAGCCCTGGAGCTAGCCTTGGAGCTAGCCCTGGAGCTAGCCTTGGAGCTAGCCCTGGAACCAGCCTTGGAGCTAGCCCTGGAGCTAGCCTTGGATCTAGGCTTGGAGCTAGCCTTGGAGCTAGCCCTGGAGCTAGCCCTGGAGCTAGCCTTGGAGCTAGCCCTGGAACCAGCCTTGGAGCTAGCCCTGGAGCTAGCCTTGGAGCTAGCCTTGGAGCTAGCCCTGGAGCTAGCCTTGGAGCTAGCCCTGGAGCTAGCCTTGGAGCTAGGCTTGGAGCTAGCCCTGGAGCTAGCCTTGGAGCTAGGCTTGGAGCTAGCCCTGGAGCTAGCCTTGGAGCTAGGCTTGGAGCTAGCCCTGGAACCAGCCTTGGAGCTAGCCCTGGAGCTAGCCTTGGAGCTAGGCTTGGAGCTAGCCCTGGAGCTAGCCTTGGAGCTAGGCTTGGAGCTAGGCTTGGAGCTAGCCCTGGAGCTAGCCCTGGAGCTAGCCTTGGAGCTAGGCTTGGAGCTAGCCCTGGAACCAGCCTTGGAGCTAGCCCTGGAGCTAGCCTTGGAGTTAGCCTTGGAGTTAGCATTTCACCTGCTCAGATTAAACCATCTCTGTTGTCATTTTGCTGTAAAAACTAAACCTGAGTCCATTTAATTCCTTTATTTTCTGTTCCCATGGTAACACAATCAGCAGTTAGTCGCGGTAAGAGAATCAGTTCCTGTGCAACATCCACACGGTCCAAAGCGGCTGGCGCTATATCGAGGTGTGAGTCCGTTGTTAAGGCAACCTGAACAGCTAGAAATGGTGAGGAGGCGGGGCCTCCCCCCAGAGGGCGGGGCCTCTCCCCAGAGGGCGGGGCTCCCCCCAGAGGGCGGGGCCTCCCCCAGAGGGCGGGGCCTCCCCCCAGAGGGCGGGGCCTCCCCCCAGAGGGCGGGGCCTCACAGCTTGGCCTTGTTCATGCGGCCCATCAGCTTCTCCAGCTTGATGGCGAGCGTCATGTCTCCTTTGATGCGTAGCTTCCCCGTCATGAAGGCCATGGTCGGCTTCAGCTGCCCTGCAGACACAGCAGGTAGCCGTTACCATGGAGACAGCATCAGCAGGGCGCCGCGTCCCGTCGCTTCAAATCACCTGCAAACATCTTAGTGAAGTCGCCGGAGTCCATCGTCATGACGACATCGGCCTTGGCGGGGGGCTCACCCGGACCCGTGCTGCCAGAACCGCTCTTCAGGTCCAGGAACCAGACGCCGCTGTGGTCTCCTAATACAGGCAGGAAGACGTTACAGGAAGACGCTACAGGAAGACGCTACAGGAAGACGCTACAGGAAGACGCTACAGGAAGACGCTACAGGAAGACGCTACTGGAAGACGCTACAGGAAGACGCTACAGGAAGACGCTACAGGAAGACGCTACAGGAAGACGCTACAGGAAGACGCTACGGGAAGACGCTACGGGAAGACGTTACTGGAAGACGCTACAGGAAGACGCTACAGGAAGACGCTACAGGAAGACGCTACAGGAAGACGCTACAGGAAGACGCTACGGGAAGACGCAACGGGAAGACACTACGGGAAGACACTACGGGAAGACGTTACGGGAAGACGCTACGGGAAGACGCTACAGGAAGACGCTACAGGAAGACGCTACAGGAAGACGCTACAGGAAGACGCTACAGGAAGACGCTACGGGAAGACGCAACGGGAAGACACTACGGGAAGACACTACGGGAAGACGTTACAGGAAGACGCTACGGGAAGACGCTACAGGAAGACGCTACAGGAAGACGCTACAGGAAGACGCTACAGGAAGACGCTACGGGAAGACGCTACAGGAAGACGCTACAGGAAGACGTTACTGGAAGACGCTACAGGAAGACGCTACAGGAAGACGCTACAGGAAGACGCTACAGGAAGACGCTACAGGAAGACGCTACGGGAAGACGCAACGGGAAGACACTACGGGAAGACACTACGGGAAGACGTTACAGGAAGACGCTACGGGAAGACGCTACGGGAAGACGCTACGGGAAGACGCTACGGGAAGACGTTACGGGAAGACGCTACGGGAAGACGTTACGGGAAGACGTTACGGGAAGACGCTACGGGAAGACGTTACGGGAAGACGCTACGGGAAGACATTACGGGAAGACGTTACGGGAAGACGTTACGGGAAGACGTTACGGGAAGACGCTACGGGAAGACACTACGGGAAGACACTACGGGAAGACGTTACGGGAAGACGCTACGGGAAGACGCTACGGGAAGACGTTACGGGAAGACGCTACGGGAAGACGTTACGGGAAGACGTTACGGGAAGACGCTACGGGAAGACGCTACGGGAAGACGCTACGGGAAGACGTTACGGGAAGACGTTACGGGAAGACGTTACGGGAAGACGCTACGGGAAGACGCTACGGGAAGACGCTACGGGAAGACGCTACGGGAAGACGCTACGGGAAGACGCTACGGGAAGACGTTACGGGAAGACGTTACGGAAGACGTTACGGGAAGACGCTACAGGAAGACGCTACAGGAAGACGCTACAGGAAGACGCTACAGGAAGACGCTACAGGAAGACGTTACTGGAAGACGCTACAGGAAGACGCTACAGGTAGACGCTACAGGAACACGCTACAGGAAGACGCTACAGGAAGACGCTACAGGAAGACGCTACAGGAAGACGCTACGGGAAGACGCTACGGGAAGACGCTACGGGAAGACGCTACGGGAAGACGCTACAGGAAGACGCTACAGGAAGACGCTACAGGAAGACGCTACAGGAAGACGCTACAGGAAGACGCTACAGGAAGACGTTACTGGAAGACGCTACAGAAAGACGCTACAGGAAGACGCTACAGGAAGACGTTACTGGAAGACGCTACAGGAAGACGCTACAGGAAGACGCTACAGGAAGACGCTACAGGAAGACGCTACGGGAAGACGCTACGGGAAGACGCTACGGGAAGACGCTACGGGAAGACGCTACGGGAAGACGCTACGGGAAGACGCTACGGGAAGACGCTACGGGAAGACGCTACGGGAAGACGCTACAGGAAGACGCTACGGGAAGACGCTACAGGAAGACGCTACAGGAAGACGCTACAGGAAGACGCTACAGGAAGACGCTACGGGAAGACGCTACGGGAAGACGCTACGGGAAGACGCTACGGGAAGACGCTACGGGAAGACGCTACGGGAAGACGCTACAGGAAGACGCTACAGGAAGACGCTACGGGAAGACGCTACGGGAAGACGCTACGGAAAGACGCTACGGGAAGACGCTACGGGAAGACGCTACGGGAAGACGCTACGGGAAGACGCTACAGGAAGACGCTACAGGAAGACGCTACAGGAAGACGCTACGGGAAGACGCTACGGGAAGACGCTACGGGAAGACGTTACGGGAAGACGTTACGGGAAGACGTTACGGGAAGACGTTACTGGAAGACGCTACAGGAAGACGCTACGGGAAGACGCTACAGGAAGACGCTACAGGAAGACGCTACGGGAAGACGCTACGGGAAGACGCTACGGGAAGACGCTACGGGAAGACGCTACGGGAAGACGCTACGGGAAGACGCTACGGGAAGACGCTACGGGAAGACGCTACGGGAAGACGCTACTGGAAGACGCTACAGGAAGACGCTACGGGAAGACGCTACGGGAAGACGCAACGGGAAGACGCTACGGGAAGACACTACGGGAAGACGTTACAGGAAGACGCTACGGGAAGACGCTACGGGAAGACGCTACGGGAAGACGCTACGGGAAGACGTTACGGGAAGACGTTACGGGAAGACGCTACGGGAAGACGTTACGGGAAGACGTTACGGGAAGACGCTACGGGAAGACGTTACGGGAAGACGCTACGGGAAGACGCTACGGGAAGACGCTACGGGAAGACGTTACGGGAAGACGTTACGGGAAGACGTTACGGGAAGACGCTACAGGAAGACGCTACAGGAAGACGCTACAGGAAGACGCTACAGGAAGACGCTACAGGAAGACGCTACAGGAAGACGCTACGGGAAGACGCTACGGGAAGACGTTACAGGAAGACGCTACGGGAAGACGCTACAGGAAGACGCTACGGGAAGACGCTACGGGAAGACGCTACGGGAAGACGCTACGGGAAGACGCTACGGGAAGACGTTACGGGAAGACGTTACGGGAAGACGTTACGGGAAGACGCTACAGGAAGACGCTACAGGAAGACGCTACAGGAAGACGCTACAGGAAGACGCTACAGGAAGACGTTACTGGAAGACGCTACAGGAAGACGCTACAGGTAGACGCTACAGGAACACGCTACAGGAAGACGCTACAGGAAGACGCTACAGGAAGACGCTACAGGAAGACGCTACGGGAAGACGCTACGGGAAGACGCTACGGGAAGACGCTACGGGAAGACGCTACGGGAAGACGCTACGGGAAGACGCTACGGGAAGACGCTACGGGAAGACGTTACGGGAAGACGTTACGGGAAGACGTTACGGGAAGACGCTACAGGAAGACGCTACAGGAAGACGCTACAGGAAGACGCTACAGGAAGACGCTACAGGAAGACGTTACTGGAAGACGCTACAGGAAGACGCTACAGGTAGACGCTACAGGAACACGCTACAGGAAGACGCTACAGGAAGACGCTACAGGAAGACGCTACAGGAAGACGCTACGGGAAGACGCTACGGGAAGACGCTACGGGAAGACGCTACGGGAAGACGCTACAGGAAGACGCTACAGGAAGACGCTACAGGAAGACGCTACAGGAAGACGCTACAGGAAGACGCTACAGGAAGACGTTACTGGAAGACGCTACAGAAAGACGCTACAGGAAGACGCTACAGGAAGACGTTACTGGAAGACGCTACAGGAAGACGCTACAGGAAGACGCTACAGGAAGACGCTACAGGAAGACGCTACGGGAAGACGCTACGGGAAGACGCTACGGGAAGACGCTACGGGAAGACGCTACGGGAAGACGCTACGGGAAGACGCTACGGGAAGACGCTACGGGAAGACGCTACGGGAAGACGCTACAGGAAGACGCTACGGGAAGACGCTACAGGAAGACGCTACAGGAAGACGCTACAGGAAGACGCTACAGGAAGACGCTACGGGAAGACGCTACGGGAAGACGCTACGGGAAGACGCTACGGGAAGACGCTACGGGAAGACGCTACGGGAAGACGCTACAGGAAGACGCTACAGGAAGACGCTACGGGAAGACGCTACGGGAAGACGCTACGGAAAGACGCTACGGGAAGACGCTACGGGAAGACGCTACGGGAAGACGCTACGGGAAGACGCTACAGGAAGACGCTACAGGAAGACGCTACAGGAAGACGCTACGGGAAGACGCTACGGGAAGACGCTACGGGAAGACGTTACGGGAAGACGTTACGGGAAGACGTTACGGGAAGACGTTACTGGAAGACGCTACAGGAAGACGCTACGGGAAGACGCTACAGGAAGACGCTACAGGAAGACGCTACGGGAAGACGCTACGGGAAGACGCTACGGGAAGACGCTACGGGAAGACGCTACGGGAAGACGCTACGGGAAGACGCTACGGGAAGACGCTACGGGAAGACGCTACGGGAAGACGCTACTGGAAGACGCTACAGGAAGACGCTACGGGAAGACGCTACGGGAAGACGCAACGGGAAGACGCTACGGGAAGACACTACGGGAAGACGTTACAGGAAGACGCTACGGGAAGACGCTACGGGAAGACGCTACGGGAAGACGCTACGGGAAGACGTTACGGGAAGACGTTACGGGAAGACGCTACGGGAAGACGTTACGGGAAGACGTTACGGGAAGACGCTACGGGAAGACGTTACGGGAAGACGCTACGGGAAGACGCTACGGGAAGACGCTACGGGAAGACGTTACGGGAAGACGTTACGGGAAGACGTTACGGGAAGACGCTACAGGAAGACGCTACAGGAAGACGCTACAGGAAGACGCTACAGGAAGACGCTACAGGAAGACGCTACAGGAAGACCCCCGCTGACGACCGGCAGCCACATATTGACGTTCACTTCCTGTTACCTGAGAGGTCAAAGCGGTACACGCCCTGAGTCGCCTTGACAACGTCCTCGTTGATTACGCCTCTGATGATGTCAAAGGTGCCTTCTATTGGTCCGGCAGAAAGGGGCGTGTCCGAGGGGGGCGCTTTGAAGGCTGGCGTTGCCCCTAGCAACACGAAACTACAGATTAGCACTGTAGTATCTCATAGTACCATGTACTACTCTATAGTACCCAGCAGTACCCAGCAGTACCCAGCAGTACCCCGCAGTACCCAGCAGTACCCAGAAGTACCCAGCAGTACCCAGCAGTACCCAGAAGTACCCAGCAGTACCCAGCAGTACGCACCGTGCTGCTCCATCTGTTTGACCAGAGACTCCGGCGCTTCGTCCAGGAAGAAGTCTGGCAGCAGCGGGTGGCCTGTGAACCAATCAGAGGCTTCGTCAGCATCACATGGTGCCGTGTGTCGACCAGGTGAGAGGTGGGACTCACCTGGCTGGACGGCGTACTGGTCAAAGTCTTTGACGCCGTGCTCCTTGAGGACGTCCTCGTCCACCAGGAAGTGACCCGTGTAGTCCTTGGGCTTGGACAGAACGGCGTAGGCGGCGTCCGCTATGATGTCCGCCGTACGGCACTGCTTCCCGATACCGTCGCCTCCCAGCATGTCCATGGCTGCTGTCTGGATCGCTATGGTAACAGAAGGGTGGGGTTAGTGTGAAGGGGCGGAGCCTGCTAGCACGGACCGCTCTCAGGAGCTGCTAAACGTTCTGACCGGTTCTGGGCCACAGAGCGTTGACGGCAATTTGACCTCTGAACTCTTCAGCCATTCCCAGGACGCACATGGACATGCCGTACTTCGCCATCGTATACGCTGCCAAACGACAATACAAATTACTGATGAGGAGGCGGGGCTTCCAGCTGGTTTCCACGGATACATAGAGGGGGAGGAATGATCTGGTTTCTATGGTTACCGGTGTGGTTCTTGAACCAGACGGGGTTCAGGTTAAGGGGCGGCGACAGGTTCAGGATGTGAGGACGGCGACTCTTCAGCAGGTGGGGGATGACCAGCTTCGACCTGAGGCACAAACATGGCTCGTTAAGGGCAACTCGTTAACAGCAGCTCGTTAAGAGCAGCTCGTTAAGGGCAACTCGTTAAGGGCAACTCGTTAAGAGCAGCTCGTTAAGAGCAGCTCGTTAAGGGCAACTCGTTAAGGGCAACTCGTTAAGGGCAACTCGTTAAGAGCAGCTCGTTAAGAGCAGCTCGTTAAGGGCAACTCGTTAAGGGCCACTCGTTAGCAGAATATTCGCGTACATACACACACGTTAAAGCTCACACTGAAGGTAACGACGTGTTGGCGAACGCCTCCTTATGGTGTAGCTTAGATAGAGGCCAACAAAGGGAACTGGGATCTATTGTTCAGGGCCATTTTGCTTTGTTAATTCTGAAGGTTAGCATGCTAATGGACCAGCTTTACTTTCAAACATCAGAACTAATGGAGAACCAACGATTAGATTGCATTTGGGCTCCCAGTGCTCCCAGTGCTCCCAGTGCTCCTACGTCAGGTATGTTCCTCTCAGGTTGATCCCCAGCATCAGGTCCACCTTCTTCATGGGCGTCTCCAGTGTTCCCGTCAGGCTGATGGCGCTGGCGTTGTTCACCAGGATGTCGATGCCTGCCAATCACAAACAATATCAGTGATGATATCACAGCTAAGAAATGACATCATGGTGAACCAACCAATCGGGCGTTTTACCTCCAAACGTTTCCACGGCTTTCTGAACGGCCGCTCCGATCTGCTGCTCATCCCGGATGTCGACGACGCAGGGCAGCGCCTTCCCTCCGGCCGCCTCCACTGGGACACACGGCAGTAACTGGTCATGATGGGACGCAGACTGGAAAGGACCAGGCTGACCTGGAAAGGATCCAGCAGCTCTCCTCACCTTCATCTGCCGCCGTGAAGATGGTTCCAGGAAGCTTCGGGTGCGGCTCGGCCGTTTTGGCGGCGATCACCACGTTGGCGCCGTCCCGAGCGGCTTTGAGGGCGATGGCCTTCCCGATGCCGCGGCTCGCTCCCGTGATGAAGAGCGTGCAGCCGGCGAGCTTCCTGTGGGGTGACAGCAACTCCCTGACATAATCACTACCAATCACTGACCCTGCTGCTCTGTGCGGCTCATTAATGACAGAATCATCTTGAACTTGTCCTTTCAGCTCCACCACAAACTTCCTGCAGGTCACAGGTGACAGCAGCACAAACAAAACTTTTTGCTGCACAAACGCAGAGTTGTTTGACACCGATTTTCTCCACTTTGAAAAAGGTGGGGGGAATGAGGGGGACTAACTTCTCTCAGGTGTCAGAGGTCAGCCAGGACATTGGTGTTAGCCGCCAGGTTAGCAACCTTTTCATGTTACTTCTAGCGGTACCACCGTCTTTCAGAACCGGACTGACTCTCTCCTTCTGGTCTGCTACAGAGATCCGCCGGCTGTGCTGCAGCTTCCTCTCGTGGTTTTCTGGTGGTTGTTGGATCTTATGCTCACAGTTAAAATTAGTAAACAATGTTAATAATCTGGTCCTAATCTAACCTTACGGGACGCCCGGCCCAACCGGATCAGAACTAATCACAGAACAACATGGAGGAACCTGAAACTGGAAGGAAGGAGCCCGAAATACCAGGAGCTGATGGAGAGAGGGTCACACTGCCCCCTGCTGGGTGGAAGGATTAATCTCACTGGAGAAATGCTGCAACTTCAGCAGGAGACAAAATAATTTAAACATTATCAATTATTAAAATAAAAGCAGAGCTTTACCATTATTATGCATTTTGTTATTTACTCTTAATTATTTTACCGACAGCAATAGCTAGGTCTGATTTACTATATGATTAAATTTTATTGGTCTAAATACATTCATCATTTTCATGTCAAAACATTCTTTAACATCCGGGAATTTGATTTAAAAAAAGAAAAAACACGAAAGCGCTGTTAGCCAGGAAGCTAACAGAAGTTAACTGTCGCTAACAGCTCGAACCAAAGTTCATTCAAAGAGCTTATCCAAGTTAAACTGCCTTGCTCAAAGGTCAGCGGGCAGAAGGAGCAGGACCGGGTCCAACCCGGTATTACAATCAGAACCGCTCCTGAGTCAGTTCGGTTCTGGAAAACCTCAGATTTACTGGTACGTTCCCTGTAAACCACAGTAAAACCAGTAAGGAGTCCCAGCAGACTGCTGGTTTCTGACTCGGTTCTGGCCCGCTTCTGACCCGGAGCTCAAACTCACGGAGCACAAACTCACCCCGAGTTCTGCAGCATGACGATCCCCGAGCAGAAAACCAGCAAACACCAGAAGCGACTCTTCTTCACCTTTCACCCACTTCACGCGTCCGTCACACCGGATGTTACGTCGTATTAACATCCGAGTTGTTCAACAAAGATCTTCTCTGAACAGGATGCCTGACTGCTGTAGTCGCTCTCGCTCTGTAGTTTATCTCCAGCAAAAGGTTCAAATTCCAAAATACGTTATTAATCCAAAAGGGAAATAAATTAAATTATTTCTGTAAGTTTTTGTGTGTCGGACGATGAACCATCCATCCATTCATCCGTCCGTCCGTCCATCATTCATCCATCCATCCGTCCGTCCGTCCATCATCCATCCATCCATCCGTCCATCATCCATCCATCCATCCGTCCGTCCATTCATCCGTCCGTCCGTCCATCCGTCCGTCCATTCATCCATCCATCCATCCATTTTCTGTTCGGAAGCTGCTGCTGCCTCTCCAGGCAATGTTCCGGGTGAGGACATTGGACCTGGACAGGTCACCAGCCTGTCGCAAGAATGGCTCATATGTAGTTAAAATAAATTCATTATTACCAGAATAATTTCCCTTCCGTAAATATGATCAAGTTCTTCCATAAAGCATGAAACTCAAGAAGGAGGGTTGAACTCAACCAGCCTCTGGTTCTTCTCTGAGCTGCAGCTTTAAAGCCCAGCAAGCAATGAGACGATTCCTGATAAAACAGTAAGAGCAGCACAACTTTAACGTTTTTACTCAGTTTAAAAGTTAACTATGAAGTCAAAATTATCCATCAGAGAAATTATTTGAATAAAATGGTATTTTTGGGAAAAAGGCAAATGGTCACTAGATCTCAGTTAATATTGGAAATGGTTTAATCAGACAAAGATTAAACCATTTAAATAAAAATGATCAGCAAAATGAAATTTTAAGAACTAAAATTTAAAAAATTAGAAATGTAAATAATCACAAAATTATACATTTCAAGCGGAAGAAGCACTTTTACAAATACATACACAGAAATACAAAAATATAACATCAAACCAAACATGACACAGCAGGCTCAGATATTTCTGTACGTTTTATATTTTTATTTTGTATCACTTACTTCTTGCTCTAGTTTTACGTATTTGTATTTATTTTTGCTTATTTCTATCCCAAATATTTGAATTATGATTTTTTTATGTTTTTTAGTCAATTTTATTTCAAAACGTATAATTGCATCTATTTTATTTCTTATCAGTTTTTGCCTGTAAATTATACAATTAGGTTTTTAATAGCTTATGTTGAATTTGATCTTTTTCTTTCAAAATTATGTTCTTGTTTTGCTTCAGATTTCTCTTCCTTAATATATTATTGCTGCTTCAGTTTTTCTGTAGTGTTTTAAATCTTTATGTTAATTATTTCTTAAGTACAATTTTAGTGAATTATTGTTTTATATTTTAATGTGAAGTTCATCGTTTTGTTGAAAAATTGTATTTTTTTCATGAATTTTTTATTTTTTTCTAGAGATTTCAATAAAATGTGATTTTGTGTAGAAAATCTTTTATAAGAATTATAATGTACTTACAGTTTTTATTGTCATTATCTTGTTTGATATGTTATCCTCAATGTTGTCTTTTCATTAAGATTTAATGTGCTTTTATTTTAATAGATATCTTGCATTTTTCTGGTCTTTATTCTTTATTTTTATTACTGAGGCGTGCCCACCCGCCGCCATGTTGTCCAGTGACGTCACCAACCAGGAAGTGAGCTCGCGGGTCTCTGGCAGCGGCTGAGGCTCGCGGACCAAAACAGCGCTTCCTCCTCCTCATCATCATCCTGCGCCTTCTCCTCTCGGACCATGGACCGGTGAGAACAGGGCCCATTCCGAACCTTCCCGAACCTTCCCGAACCCCGCGTCTCGTGCTTCCCGCTGGCTGAGGCCCCCCCGCCCCCCCGGTTCTGCTGCTGTTTACCTGGCCCTGCTGGCGCTCGCGCTCTTTTCTCGGTTCGGAGTTTGGTGAACAAACAGTGTTAGGTTGACTGGCTAAAATCTCGCGATGCTTCGCCCTCAGATGAGACTATAGATGTGATCAGGTTGTAGACTGGGCTCCAGTCAAACCAGTTTGAACCAGTTAGGCATCAGGTAGTTACTGGAGGAGAAAACATCCGGGTCCTGGCGGTTTCTGATCTGACTGGGTTCATAACCCTTACCTGGTTCCGGTTCGGACCTGACTGTGAAAGAACGTTCTCCAGGACCACAGAACTGAACCGGAACCTCTCTGTGGGTCCTAGCAGGTGAATAAAGTGGTTCCGACCCGTGTGGGCGGAGTCTCACAGGTGAGCTGTTGGAGGGGGCGTGGCCGGTTCTGGTTCTGAAGGTTCCATTAGGTCTCAGTCACCTGGTCAAAATGGGTCCAAACCCACTGCTGCCAGTTGTGATGAGCCGAACCGGACCCTCATCGATCCAGCCGGGTCCAGGAAGCAGGATTATCTGACAGATCAGAACCCGATCAGAATCTGACAGAAGGTCTGCTGCTGATGCAGTCAATGACTCACCTGTGTGTTCACCTGCAGGAGTCAACGCTCAGAACACCTGTTGGTTGCTGTGAGAACATGAGCTCCGCCCACCTGTCCACAGGTGAGTCGTCCATCTTCAGCCTCCTCCTGTCCTCTGTCTTCACCTTCAGGTGTCTCCTCACCTGTTCCTTTGTCTCCAGTGGATGGCACTGATAGGCTGTGTGTTTCTGAGCGCGCTCAGTGTGTCCCTTCTCCAGTGCTGCACCTGCGGCAGCTACCTGCTGACACCTCTGAACAGGAAGTGGTCGACCTGGCACTTCCCTTCGGCAGAGTCTCCAAACTGATCACACTGAGGACCAAAAACCAGGTAACTGGACCCACTAGAACCAAAACCAGGTAACTGGACCCATAGAACCAAAACCAGGTAACTGGACCCACTAGAACCAAAACCAGGTAACTGGACCCATAGAACCAAAACCAGGTAACTGGACCCACTAGAACCAAAACCAGGTAACTGGACCCATAGAACCAAAACCAGGTAACTGGACCCATAGAACCAAAACCAGGTAACTGGACCCACTAGAACCAAAACCAGGTAACTGGACCCATAGAACCAAAACCAGGTAACTGGACCCACTAGAACCAAAACCAGGTAACTGGATCCAGTTGATTCGTCTTATTTACACTGAAGGATTATAACTAATAATAATTTCTATAAATGATAAATGTGTTTTTTTTCAGGCGTTTCTTGAGATGGCGTCAGAGGAAGCAGCCGTTACCATGGTGAACTACTACGCCTCAGCCCCACCCACCATCAGGAACCAGCCAGTCTTCATTCAGTACTCCACCCACAGAGAGCTGAAAACAGACAATCTGACCAATCAGGTGAAGAGGCCCCGCCCACTTTACTGTGAGCAACAACAGAGTGGGCGGAGCCTCAGATAGTGATCTGTCTTCATACCAGCAGAGGGCGCTGCAGGCCATCAGCACGGCAGCAGTGCATTCTGGGAACATGGGGTCGTCAGAGGGGCGGGGCTTAATCCCGGCGCCGAGCGCGGTTCTGAGGATCATCGTGGAGAACCTGTTCTACCCGGTGACCCTGGAGGTCCTGCAGCAGGTCGGCGGGCCGCAGCAGCGCTGCAGCCGCACCGTGTGACTGGTTTCTTCTCTTTGTTTATTGATGTTTTTATTTGTTTGGTTTTGTGTCGGGATCAGATCTTCAGTAAGTTCGGCTCCGTCCTGAAGATCATCACTTTCACCAGGAACAACCAGTTCCAGGCTCTGCTGCAGTTCAGCGACGCCGTCCACGCTCAGCACGCCAAGGCGGTGAGTCGCAGTCACACTGACGCATGTAGAGTGGGCGGCCTGCAGGGGGCGCCGCCCACCAATCGCTGCTGTGTTTCAGTCTCTGGACGGCCAGAACATCTACAACGGCTGCTGCACGCTGCGCATCGACTTCTCCAAACTGAGCGCGCTCAACGTCAAGTACAACAACGACAAGAGCCGCGACTTCACCAGAGCCGACCTGCCGAGCGGAGAGCTGGACCCGGCCGGCGCCGCCACCGCCGCCGCCTTTGGTGGGTGGAGCCTGCCGCACTTCCCTGCCCGGCCAGCAGGCGTCCACTCTCGCTGACTGTCTGTGGGCGGGGCTTCCGCTCCACCTGTGTGTTTCAGGTGTAGCTCTGCCACCATATGGAGCCGCAGCGTTCCCGCCCTCCTTCCACCAGCACACGGGTGAGTCACATGACCTGCAGGTGGGCGGGGCATCGATCACCTGCAATCATCACTGAGGCTATTCAAGCACTTCGCTGCAGTTTGTTCTCAGAGCCACTAGATGTCACTGAAGTCCAAACTGTTTATATTTTAAGTAAATCAGGATGACTTTCTAATTTGAATTTCATAATCACTGGGTGAAATTTCTTCACTAATGTCTGATGTGAAAGTAATTAAAATAAAGAATATTTAATTCTAAATGTTTGACCTGCCCCACCAGGGGGCGCCAACTGGTTACTGTCTCACCTGTGCGCTCGTCCCCAGGTCTCCCAATGACGGCGGTCCCCGGCTCGCTGATGTCCCCTCCTCGCATGGCGATGCAGGTGGCGCCCCCTGCGGGCCACTCAGTGCTGCTAGTGTCTAACCTGGACCCAGAGGTGAGAGGTCACACGGGGATGCAGCAGGTGACCAATGAGAGCGCAGCGCTCTGACCTACATGTTTTTGTGTCCACAGAGAGTTTCCCCCCACTGCCTCTTCATCCTGTTTGGTGAGACTGGCTGCCGTCATCCCGGCTTCGCCCAGCAGGGGGAGCCTGACCTGCGATCTGTGTGTTTCAGGAGTTTATGGCGACGTCCAGCGAGTCAAGATCCTGTTCAACAAGAAGGAGAACGCGCTGGTCCAGATGAGCGACGCCACGCAGGCGCAGCTCGGTCAGAATCAGCTCTGATCAAATTTATTTATTGTCCCTAAAATTCAGTCGTGTTTTAATAAGCGCGTCCTGGTTGTGCCGGTTTCATTGAGTTTGTCTCTGGATGGACGATTTCTGGATTTATTCCGACGAGAACAGAAATATTAAAATTTGGGGAATAATTTTCCTCTCTATGTGTCCTAAATGTAT